GTGAAACTGGACGGCTGCAGAGTGCACATGAGAGTGACGAGGATGGAGGCAGAGCGAGTGTCCAACAAAAAGGCCCCAGATAATACGCAGGGAGCTCAGAACACACAGCGAGGCGAGAACACGCAGTGAGGTCAGAACACACAGAGGGATGAGAACACGCAGTGAGGTCAGAACACGCAGCGGGGTAAGAACACGCAGTGAGGTGAGAACACACAGTGAGGTCAGAACACGCAGTGAGGTGAGAACATGCAGTGAGGTCAGAACACGCAGTGGGGTAAGAACACGCAGTGAGGTGAGAATACGCAGTGAGGTGAGAACACGCAGTGAGGTCAGAACACGCAGTGAGGTGAGAACACGCAGCAGGGTGAGAACACACAGTGAGATCAGAACACACAGTGAGGTGAGAACACGCAGTGAGATCAGAACATGCAGTGAGGTGAGAACACGCAGTGAGATCAGAACATGCAGTGAGGTGAGAACACGCAGTGAGGTCAGAACACGCAGCGGGGTGAGAACACGCAGTGAGGTCAGAACACGCAGTGAGGTCAGAACACGCAGCAGGGCGACAATGCGCAGTGAGGTCAGAACACGCAGCGGGGTGAGAACACGCAGCACGGCGACAACACGCAACGGGGTGACAACACACACTGAGCTCAGAACACGCAGCAGGGCGACAATACGCAGTGAGCTCAGAACACGCAGCAGGGCGAGAACACGCAGCGGGGTGACAACACGCACGGAGCTCAGAACACGCAGCAGGGCGAGAACACGCAGCGGGGTGACAACAAGCAGGGAGCTCAGAACACGCAGCAGGGCCAGAACACGCAGAGGGGTGACAACACGCAGGGAGCTCAGAACACACAGCTGGGCGAGAACACGCAGCGGGGTGAGAACACACAGTGAGGTCAGAACACGCAGCGGGGCGAGAACACACAGTGGGGCAAAACACGAAGGGAGCTCAAAACACGCAGCGGGGTGAGAACACGCAGTGAGGTCAGAACACGCAGCGGGGCAAGAACACGCAGTGGGGCGAGAACACGCAGTGAGGTCAGAACACGCAGCTGGACGAGAACAGGCAGTGGGGCAAAACACGCAGGGAGCTCAGAACACGCAGCGGGGTGAGAACAGGCAGTGAGGTCAGAACACGCAGCGGGGCGAAAACACGCAGCGGGGCAAGGACACGCAGTGAGGTCAGAACACGCAGCGGGGCGTGCTCACACAGCGGGGTGGAACACGCAGCGGGGTGAGAAGACACAGTGGGAACTCCACCTTTTGGGCCCTGGTATGATGCCGTTTACAACCTGAAAACGCAGCTGAGGAGGGGAGTTGTTAATTCAGGATATCGCATGGGGGCTACACCGCCTGCCCTGATGGGACGCAGAGGGTGCTGTGGGCATTGTCATGAAGCGAGAGTGCCGGGGCTGCCTCCACACGGGGCCTCCTCCACAGGGACCCGCCTCCAAAAGGACCCGCCTCCTCCACACGGACCCGCCTCCTCCACACGGGACCCGCCTCCTCCACACGGACCCGCCTCCTCCACACGGGACCCGCCTCCTCCACACGGGACCCTCCTCCTCCACACGGACCCGCCTCCTCCACACGGACCCGCCTCCTCCACACGGGACCCGCCTCCTCCACACGGACCCGCCTCCTCCACACGGGACCCGCCTCCACACGGACCCACCTCCTCCACACGGACCCGCCTCCTCCACACGGACCCGCCTCCTCCACACGGGACCCGCCTCCTCCACACGGGACCCTCCTCCTCCACACGGACCCGCCTCCACACGGACCCACCTCCTCCACACGGACCCGCCTCCTCCACACGGGACCCGCCTCCACACGGGACCCGCCTCCTCCACACGGACCCGCCTCCTCCACACGGAACCCGCCTCCTCCACACGGGACCCTCCTCCTCCACACAGACCCGCCTCCTCCACACGGACCCACCTCCTCCACACGGGACCCTCCTCCTCCACACAGACCCGCCTCCTCCACACGGACCCGCCTCCTCCACACGGACCCGCCTCCACACGGACCCTCCTCCTCCACACAGACCCGCCTCCTCCACACGGACCCACCTCCTCCACACAGACCCGCCTCCTCCACACGGACCCGCCTCCTCCACACGGACCCGCCTCCACACGGACCCTCCTCCTCCACACAGACCCGCCTCCTCCACACGGACCCACCTCCTCCACACGGGACCCTCCTCCTCCACACAGACCCGCCTCCTCCACACGGACCCGCCTCCTCCACACAGACCCGCCTCCTCCACACGGACCCGCCTCCTCCACACGGACCCGCCTCCACACGGACCCTCCTCCTCCACACAGACCCGCCTCCTCCACACGGACCCACCTCCTCCACACGGGACCCTCCTCCTCCACACAGACCCGCCTCCTCCACACGGACCCGCCTCCTCCACACGGACCCGCCTCCTCCACACGGGACCCGCCTCCTCCACACGGGACCCTCCTCCTCCACACGGGACCCTCCTCCTCCACACAGACCCGCCTCCTCCACACGGACCCGCCTCCACACGGACCCACCTCCACACGGACCCACCTCCTCCACACGGACCCGCCTCCTCCACACCGACCCGCCTCCTCCACACGGGACCCTCCTCCTCCACACGGGACCCTCCTCCTCCACACAGACCCGCCTCCACACGGACCCACCTCCTCCACACGGACCCGCCTCCTCCACACGGACCCGCCTCCTCCACACAGACCCGCCTCCTCCACACGGACCCGCCTCCACACGGACCCACCTCCTCCACACGGACCCGCCTCCTCCACACGGACCCGCCTCCTCCACACAGACCCGCCTCCTCCACACGGACCCGCCTCCACACGGACCCACCTCCTCCACACGGACCCGCCTCCTCCACACGGACCCGCCTCCTCCACACGGGACCCGCCTCCTCCACACAGACCCGCCTCCACACGGACCCACCTCCTCCACACGGGACCCTCCTCCTCCACACGGGACCCGCCTCCTCCACACGGACCTGCCTCCTCCACACGGACCCGCCTCCTCCACACGGACCCGCCTCCTCCACACAGACCCGCCTCCTCCACACAGACCCGCCTCCTCCACACGGACCCGCCTCCACACGGACCCACCTCCTCCACACGGACCCGCCTCCTCCACACGGACCCGCCTCCTCCACACGGGACCCTCCTCCTCCACACAGACCCGCCTCCACACGGACCCACCTCCTCCACACGGACCCGCCTCCTCCACACGGACCCGCCTCCTCCACACAGACCCGCCTCCTCCACACGGACCCGCCTCCACACGGACCCACCTCCTCCACACGGACCCGCCTCCTCCACACGGACCCGCCTCCTCCACACGGGACCCGCCTCCTCCACACGGACCCGCCTCCTCCACACGGACCCGCCTCCTCCACACGGGACCCGCCTCCTCCACACGGGACCCGCCTCCTCCACACGGACCCGCCTCCTCCACACGGACCCGCCTCCTCCACACGGGACCCGCCTCCTCCACACGGGACCCTCCTCCTCCACACGGACCCGCCTCCTCCACACGGACCCGCCTCCTCCACACGGACCCGCCTCCACACGGACCCACCTCCTCCACACGGACCCGCCTCCTCCACACGGACCCGCCTCCTCCACACGGGACCCGCCTCCTCCACACGGGACCCTCCTCCTCCACACAGACCCGCCTCCTCCACACGGACCCGCCTCCTCCACACGGACCTGCCTCCTCCACACGGGACCCGCCTCTTCCACACGGACCCGCCTCCTCCACACGGACCCGCCTCCACACAGGGGACCCTCCTCCACACGGGACCCGCCTTCTCCACACGGACCCGCCTCCTCCACACGGACCCGCCTCCTCCACACGGACCCGCCTCCTCCACACGGACCCGCCTCCTCCACACGGACCCTCCTCCACACGGACCCGCCTCCTCCACACAGACCCGCCTCCACACAGGGGCTGCCTCCGCAATGGGGCTGTTCCCACTGGGGGCTGCCGGGCTCCTGCTGGGTCTCGATCCGCAGGCGTGGGACCCTCCAGCGCGTCTGCCCATGCGGCTGCAGCCAGCGCCTCCACGAACCTCATGAGCCCCGGGCCCTCGTCTGTGACACAGGCACTCAGCCACCTCATCACGCTGCTGGGAAGGTTATATCACAAATAACAGCAGGCCTGCGACGTGTGAAACGGCACGAGGGCCCACTTTTTAATTAGAGGGGTGTCACTGCAGCGGACGGACAGCAGGAACTGGGCGGGCCCTCACTGCCCTGCTCCGTGGGAGCGGGTTCGGAGCGGAGGGGTCGGGGATGTGAACGAGGAAGGGAAGTCCTGGCTCCTGTTACGTGACTCATTCCAGATCAAACCCGCATCAAAGCAAAGACGCTTTCTTCATACTGAGTTATGCAAATCAGCAGGCTGCCTCGGTGACGCCTCGAGGATAAACTAGTATTTATGAGAAACGTCATGTGGCCACGTGCAGTGGTTCGCACCTGTAACCCCGGCACTTTGGGAGGCTGAGGCGGGCGGATCACTTATGGTCAGGCGTTCAAGACCAGCATGGCCAACATGAGGAAACCCGTCTTCACTAAAAACACCCATTAGCCAGGCGTGGTGTTGGGACCTGTAATCCCAGCTGCTCAGGAGGCTGAATGAAGCAGGAGAATCGCTTGAACCCAGAAGACGGAGGTTGCAGTGAGTGGAGAAAAAGCCACTACACTCCAGCCTAGCGAAACTATCTCAAAACACAGAGAAACGTCACGTATGTAAGGACGTGTGGCCTCTTTTTCCTCTTTATTTCAAAGTCCTAGAACAGGTATTTTCTTCATGCTGAACCGCCACAGAAAAACCGTTAACGCCGACTCCTACCTCTCTCCGAAAGTAAAAACGAAATGCTCAAAATAGCAGAAGAAGTTATGCAGGAAAGAAACACAGGTGTTCACCGGCCAGCGTCTCGGTGTCACGGCCTCCCTGCTGTGAGGGAACCCACTTACCTCGCAGTCTCCGGCCCCGTGAGACGTCCAGGGCGGACGGGGCACCCATGGGGCGGTCCTGCACGGCTCTGCCACAGGTCCCGCGAGGGCACCGCCGGGGCTGCCCCGAGGTCAGGCGTCCTGGAGGCCCGGCTTGTCCCTGCCTCTGGCCAAGCTCAGCATGGTGTGTGCTCCTGCCTAAGGCCCCAGGGCCGCACCGGGTGTCCAGGAATAAACAGTGGCTTCCCCGCCCTCCGGCAGCTGGGTGTGGAGGACTCAGCCCTACCGAGGGAAGCAGAAATGAACCACGTGTCAACAGAAGCCTTGCCGCGTTTCGCCCTGGGAGCTTCCCCACGGGTCGTGGACTCACAGCGTCTCCATCTTCCTTTCTTCGGCCTGCTGCGGGCACACGGAAGCCCCGTCCCACGCTGTGAGCACGAGGCCACGCCACGCGGGGACCACGTTCCCCCCCGCACCCTCCGCACGCGGCTGCCCTGCTTCCTGTTTGGAAAGGAGAGCTGCGCGGGCCGCAGGCGCCGTCCTGACTGCTGGGAAGTGTGGCCTCTGACCGGAAGCCGGAAACAGGGAGGGGAAGGGAAGGGCACGGACACCGAGTGGGCAGCGTAGACGCACGTTCCTCACGCTGCAGGAGGAGTCGCGAATATTCCCGAGAGGAGACACTCGCGTGTGCAGAGCAGCTGCTGGCCCCCGCCTGTGTCCGCTGTGCATGAAATGGTGGTTTTATGCGATCCATGGGTGGAGTTTTTGGTCCTCGAAGGTCTAAAGGTGATGCAGCGGACCAAAACCCTTGGCGTCCTGAACCACATGTGGCCAGTGGCCTTGCACCGGAACCTCTGCAGCCCGACCGTGGGCTGCAGTGACGCATCTGTGGGTGAACGTTGTGCCCCACGAAGGCCGAGCTGCTGGGCCGTGTGTGCGTCCTCCCTGCACCCTCGCCACGTGCACCGCGTTCACACCCCTCTCACCCAGGCACGGGGTGGCAAACATCTCTTGCTGCAAACACCTCCGGCTGCCCAGCGTTGGTGGTGGGCCGCCGGGGTCTCTGGTCACTCTCCCAGGGTGGCCGTGCTCCAGTGGCTGCTCACGTGACACCACGACCTTCACACTCTGTGTCCACCTCTCAGGCCTCCTCCCTTTCCACCCCTCACAGCCAGCCAGGGCCCTTGCTGAACTATCAGAAGAAGGGCACATGAGCAGAGTTTTATTTTTGCATAATGTCCTCGCCTGGACACCAGGTAAATGAGAGAGGTTCATCATTACCTTTACTTAAAGGGTGGCCATCGTCACCCAGGAAGGACAGACCAAGGCTGGGACTTTCAGACTTCAAATTCCTTTTCTCTTATCAGAAACAATGCGGTTCCCTTCCACCCGCCTCAGACGTACTCTGAAGTGCATTGGAGCCTCTGACGCTCCGCTCACTTCACTGGCAGTGACCAGAGCGTGGTGTGAGCCCATCCCCAGCCTCTGGCAGGGGGACCTCGGCGAGTGCCTTCTCCTGTCTGTTTTCTTTTCCTCGTCTATAAAATGGAAATGGGAAATGGGATGCTTGATGGTGGAAGAGTCAGTAACACACGAAGTGCCAGACCCAGCCCATTGCTTGTCCGCAGGTCCTGCTCCCAACAACTTAGCAGCTCACCCGCCACAGACCACCCGCTGGAGCACCGGGCACACAGACACCTGCAACCCAGGCTGGCAGTGCAGGCAGGTGTGTCCAGGGAGAGGAGCCTGGGTAGGGGTAGGTGTGTCAGGGAGAGGAGCTAGGATGGGGGCAGGTGTGTCAGGGAGAGGAGCTGGGATGGGGGCAGGTGTGTCAGGGAGAGGAGCCAAGGCAGGGACAGGTGTGTCCAGGGAGAGCAGCCAGGGCTGGTGTCCCCAGGAGAGCTGCACATGGTTCCGTGGGCACCCACGTTGCTCAGCCAGGCCTTGCTGAGGGTGCATGCCAGCAGTGTCACCTCGGGAATAAGAGTGTGCAGATGATTGGCAAGTGACAGCATGAAGAGAATGACACTGGTGAGAGAAGCCAGTTTGGGGTCAGCTGTGGAGGCCAGCAGGTGGACCTGGAGAGGGAAGCAGAGGCGGCTGGTGCTGGAGGGGCCTGGGCGCCCACTCATGGCCCTGGGTTCGCTCTGAAGTCGACACACAGGGGCTTTCCAGAGTTGACCTCACTCGTGCAACTGCTGCACTATGAACTACACTGGCACAGAAGATGGAATTAGGCACCGCCAGCCCTCACCCAGAAAACGTTTTGAGTTTGTGCTTCCCCTTCGCCTGACACAGCTCCAGCCTGAGCCCCTCCCATCGCAGACCCTTCACCCTGGAGGGAGCTCACAGCTCAGGGGACAGCAAGGCCTGGCCAGCGGCCCCTCTGCCTTCCCCAGGACAGCGCGACCGTTCCAGACAAGCAGAGGTCAGCACGACACCTGGCCTCACTCTCTCGCCCTCAGGGCCAGGAGAAGTTCGGACACAACCCCTCTGATGCCAGCGTGTCCTCGGTCAGGGGCAGAGTGTGGACAGGCAGTGGGAGTCGGGCCTGCGCCCCTGCTCAGCACCTGTGAGCCCCATGCATGTGGCTCCAACGGTGGCAGCAGCAGTGAGAACTCTCAGGTGGGGACCTTCCCCAGCCCCGAAAGCTCCCGCTCAGCGCAGGGCGTGGGGGTGGTGGTAGGAACCCCGACAGTGACAGAGATGTCACCTCAGAGAGATGCTCCCTGTGCCACCACCAGCCAGGCCCAGGTGTGTGAACCGCCAGGCCCGAGGGCCCCGCCCCTCCTGCATTTGGCCCCCTCCCCTTCAATAAGAAATGCTGACAGGCTGTGAAGCGGTGAAGCTCCTGAAAGGCATCTGGCTGATGCTGCCGAGTCTGGGATCGTGTTTCCGGGACGTCGGCAGCTCCTTTTTTGTTAAAAAACGACCCCCTACCCTAGAAAGCCCCCAGACTTCACTGAGGTCCCGGGAAAGACAGGTCATTCTTCGTGGAAGCCCACGTGTCCTGAGGGAGCCGCACCAAGCTGCTGGCTCCTCAGCCCCTGGTCATTCCTCTTCCTGCCCCAGTGGGGTTACCTCTGCAAGCCTGAACCGGGGTGAGTGAGGCCGGGCTGCAGGAGGACCTGGAATCCGGGCCCAAGGATCCCTGCACTGAGTGGTTTGACTCCCAAGTCCCCAGGTCACCCCATCCGGCCACCCCCCAACCTCTCATCACCCACAGCAGCCGCTCCAGCACCAAAACCCTCAGTGGCCACCTCCCGACGGCCAGCAGCAGGGAGTCCAGAAGCCCAGCTGACTGTGCCCTGCCAGCCCACTGCCAGACAGCGTGTCGTCCCTGAAGGCCGTGGGGTTAGAGAGCTGCCCCTGTGTAAGAACATGGGCACGCCAAAGGCAAAGCGTGGTCCCCAATAATGGGGCCATGCCTGTCCGAGGATCAGCTCCAGAGTGGGCCTGCCTCTCCTGTGATGGTGGCGGGGGCATATGTATGCTGCCTGTTGAGGCTCGAGCCCATGGGGGACGATGAGGCAGGCTGGCCGGGCCCACAGACGGGTCTGGGGTGGACCCAGGGGGCTCGAGGAGGCTGCTGAGCCTCGGAGTCAATGTTACGGGAGAAGCTGCAGAGACAGTCTCCACGGGGACCCCGGAAGACACCTCTGCAGCTGACACCTTCCGGGCCGTCCTGGTCTCACGTGGGCCCAGAACAGAAGGGGGATCGGAGCCCGGGTCTCAAACACTCATTATTTTCTTTCCAATCAATCATGGACCGACGTTTTTGTCAAATGCAATCAAAAGCAATTCGTTGTAAATGAACTCACACTTGGATGTTGCAGCTGTGCCACCCTGCTCGGGGGTCTCGGTTTCTGTCCTGCCCCCAGAGAAGCGGCTGCGTGTGGCCAGCAGACACGCAAGGAGCACCCGTGGGCGGCACCAGGTACATCTCTGAGGACCTTCCCCGCTGGCCCCAGTATCAGTCTGGACATGAGGTTGACAGGCATCATTGGGGCTCCAAATTTGAGTTTTATCTGAGTCTTAAATTTCTCCAATGGTTGGCAAGATGGTGTTCATTGGCTCAAATGAAAACTTGACTTGGCTCAGGGAGAGAAGTGGAAAGTGCGGTTAGTGTAGGCCTGAGTGACCCGCCATGGAGGTCCCCTGGGGCGCGAGCACCGTCCCTCCTCATGCCGACCAGCTCTGCGGTCTGTCAGTCCCCGGCATCACAGACGTGCTTGTCACTGGGCTGGGAGTCAGAGCTGGCTGCCACACGGCGGTGCGTCGAGGCGCCCTGGAAGGAAGATGCTGCAAAGCACCCACGTCAGGGTTGCCCGCCGCCCAGCTCCCAGGAGCCCTGGGAAGGACACAGACCTTCCTGTGCCCTCAAGGCTGCCTGCATTGACCATGATTCTGCTTTGCTTTGCATTATGCGGGAAATGGGGTCCCATTATGCAAAACCCAGAGCCTCCAACCACCAACCACTCGGGCCTCACCCAGACACCGACTGCCCCCGCCCCCAGCAGATACCAGAGGTCGCTCATGATTCACAGACAGATGGCGTGAGATGGGAGCGGGAGACACGGTGGTGGTGAACACGCACGCAGCAGGAGGTATTGCCAGACCCGTTACAAACGCTTTGCACAGAGCACAACGTCTACCCGCCGGCCGCCTGAGGTGGGGCACTGTTCCAGCCATGCTTTATCCTGGCATTCGGTGAAACTACTGTCTTTGAGGACAGCTCGGGGTCTCCTCCAGCAGGTCCCATTTCCCGTGTTAAAGCAACTGGAATCCACGGGCAGTGAGAAACTCAAGTGGTTCAGGCAGATGGGACCAGGTCAATAGCCCTGTGTCCTCCTTACAGCAGGCAGGGCGGCCTCATGCCACCTGGCAGCAGAACCTCCAGCACCTGCAGCCCGAGCCTCCGAAGCCACCGCTTCTCACGAGTCCATTTCTTTGCGTGCCATGGAAGCAATCGGCTCCACTCTGCTGGCACCTCCAGGTTCCCAGGACTCAAAAGGTTCCGGGAACAGCCTCTGGGTCACTGACAAACTATTCGGCCTTCATGTGGACGTTTGCTTTCATACATGTAACCAAAAATGGCCCAAAACGCAGGTTACCCTGCAGCCAGCTAGCTGCCTTACGCAGCTGCCTCCATTGCTCCACGTGGCTTCTCTCCACCTAGACCGAGCCAGCGGTGGGACACGCCTTCTGACTCCCCTCCCTCAGCAGTTACTCCCTCGGTTAATGGGCCTGACAAGCAGGCACTTATGCAGAATTAATAATGCATTAATAACGGCTACGATCTGGGAAACCAAACAGGCTGTGTGTTAATAACAGAATCAATAGTCCTTTGAAGCGATGCTTATTTTACCATGTGTAGAAACAGGCGCATGGCTTTAGCTTTGTCGTGGCGGGAAGAGTGAGCCTTCCCCTCACAGACGGGCCGATTCCGCATCCTGGTGGCGTCTTCCTGGGCTCTTCTCCTGGCGGCATCTTCCTGGGCTTTTCTCCTGGTGGCATCTTCCTGGGCTCTCCTGGTGGCATCTTCCTGGGCTCTCCTGGCGGCATCTTCCTGG